AACGAAGTTTTATAATAATGGAATGTACAAAAAATGCCCTGAAAGACGGGGCTAACTCAATAACCCGTGGCCCAATTTTAACAAAACTTGTTTTATTCTCATTTCATTACAAATATGGCACTATTGTGCACAGTTTTTGCTATATTAATTACAGACCAGCACACACACAAACAAACAATCTCAGAGTTTTAGTAGTATATAGATAATGTCATTTTCACAAGGTCCATGTAACAGTTACCAATTCACAGAAACCTATTTTAAGTTTGTAAGCCAGAAAATAAATGTGTAGCTTCTCTACACTTTTTATAAAAACGCTTGAGTTTGAAACTTTGAATTAACAAGTTTTAGAAAACAACAACTATTTTTGACTGTTTTTTCAGTCATTTTAAAATCTAACTTGTAAAAAACACGCAAGTTATAATAAACTTATATTCAACTATTTAATTTCCAGAACTTGGATTTCCATTCCCATTTATCATGCTACAATTATTATATTTCATCCCATTAAGGGAAAATATAAAATTACGAAAGTGGAGACACTGTTTCCACACTTTTGGGTTGACAAAATTTCAAGATTTTCAAGGATCTTTTAAGCTTATAATTAACTAAACACTTTTACCATTTAAATAATTATTTTATTTCAACAATATAGCATGTCTTTCAAAGGCTTATTCATCTTGACTTTTCGAGAGAGCATCATAAATCATTTATTAAAGATACTAAGAAGTGCACACTTTAAACTTTCATAATCACTAATAACAAACAGAAAGCGAGTCAATTCTCCTCCTGGTGTTTATGAAGTCAATAAAAACACAGAATAGTTTAGCAAACTTTAAGGAGGGAGTTTAGCAGGTGATGCTACACTAACAATTTATAATTTAGTTTCTAAAGAAAAATTAAATAATTATTGCAGTTTTCCTAAAAAAAACCAGTAATGGTGAAAATAATTGGTTCGGAAAGTTAGCTACTGGTTAAAGGTTCGAACCTATTAGATATTGACTAATTATTGGTCAATGTCATTGACAGGGACTTTGTATTAATGAGCCAAAGGTCTGTGAGACCTAGCATGATGGGGGTGGATGGTATCCTCAATAGTTACAAGTTGAAGAAAACTGTCAATTATTGGCTGCAAAACCTTTTGCTGGGATTTGTTTTTCAATTTTGCACAAAGCTATATGAGGGCTATCTACACTAGCTGTCCCTAATTTTGCAGTGAAAGGCTAGAGGGAAGGCAGCTAGTCATCACCACCCACTTTTGGGCGCTTTTTTTTTTTTTTTACCTTTAACCAAATAGTGGGACTGACCCTCACATTATAACATCCCCACATCTGAAAGGGCAAGCATGTTTGGTGGGACAGGGATTCAAACTCATGACCCTCAGACCGAGAGTAAAGCACCTTAACCACCTGGCCATGCCGGGCCATTTTTGGTGGGAGCTCTATCCAACCAGTTCACCAGTGATCAATACATTTTTTTTTTTTTTTAAGTGATCTTGCAAAAAATAAGAGAATAAAATATATAAAAGCATTTTATGTACATCATGATAAAGTACAGTACAAATAAAGAAAATATATCAACTAAAACAAGTATTGGTTATTAGGAGAAAAAAAATGTTATTACATGGACTACCTCACACACACACACCCACTAATCCACTCAAATCTCAGAGATCACGAAAATCTTTAATCGATTCTAACAGAATTTGAAAAACAATGGCAATTTAACTGCTTGATTTGTTTCAATTTAAATACTAACAATTCAATTTTCTTTATCTGAAAACAAATCAATTTTCCAATTGCTTGCTTACTATTCTAATCCCACCTAATAAAGATTCGACAAGGGCAGGTGAAGTGCCAATAAATGTTTGAAACATTCCTTCTTACTTCATTATTTTTCTTTTCCCATACTTTTCCAAGTTTCCTAGACAGACCCATGGGAGCCACACAGAGCAGATAACCTAATGGTGTGAAGCTGTACTACTTACTGATAACTGCTTTGATTTGTTATCTAGTGTCAAAAGTTAAAAACAGACATATTCTGAATATGTACATGTATCATGTTACAACTGAAATGTTAGTTGAATAATAAATAAAATTTCCTCACCTTGTATCTTTCACAACTGGCAGCAGGGAAGGAGGAATGTTCAACATGTTAATACACCAGCCTGCCCAGCACATCTTGGAAAACAATCAATTTATTTTATATAATTTCATTTACCCAGGTAAAATTTTTAGGTAAAGCACGTCTTACCTGTTTATAGGATTACAAAGTCATTTTCTAGGCATATTCCAGAAAAAGATGTAAATAAAAAGATGCATATTACATTGCAATATACCAGATTGTTATCAATATATAAGACAGAGTAATCACAATATTACAAGGAAATTGATGGAATTGTCATTAGTTTAGTCAGGAATCTTTCTTTTACTTCTGGAAGATTTCAAATATTAATTACACAAACAAAAAAAAACTTTTAGAAAACAAAATGTCTAGGAAAGTCTTCTAGGAAATGATAAAATATGATACTAACTAATGGATTGAAAAAATTAAGTTTTATTTGTTTGGGGTATGAAGAACAGAATAAGCCTTACATAGGTTAATCAAAGATAAAACATGGCATTTTCCAGACAGAAGATGTTTCATGCTGTTAATATAACACTAAAATAGTATAATAATGCCAAAACAAAATTCAGTTATCATATGAACAATAAAAAATAAAGTTCCTCGAAATTTAGAAATAAAAAATACATTTATGCTTGTAAAAAATATATTAGCTAAAGACCAGTTTGCAACTAGTATTTAAAAATTCTACATAGGGAAAGTTTCACAAATAAAAACATGAGATATAATGTTTCAACATATCTGGAATGATTCCATACTACTCATTCTATAATATTTCCTGTTTCACTAGACCTGCAACAGAACTTTAAATTACAATCCTCATAACATATCAGATTAAAGTAAACATCTGTATGCTAAAGAGAAAAAATGCCTTTTCTTTAAAATAAACTTTTACACTTAGAGCCACTTGCAAATCATTTACCATCACATTAGAGAATTACGTACATTATGCCACTTAAGTTACCATTATGCAAAAAAAATAAAAATGATCATTTTGTGTATCACCCCCAACATCTTCAAGTCTCACCAGCCTTTTTCTAAATGATTAGCAAAATATAGGAGACAGTAATGTCGCATGCATTCTTGGTGATTTTGAAATGTCTATAAATTAGGAATGTAAATAACATGAAATCTCCAGTTTGCATACACTCTGAGTACAAATAAATTAGATTTATGTAAAGAGCTTTCTGCTAGTGTTTTTGTTAACTGACAGGATATCAAAGGTTATTCCTAAAATATAACTATAATGCCATTTTGCTAGCTAAAACATCAAAAGCTAAAACACAGTCGCCACTAATGACAACAAATTATACAAAACGTGATGGATAAACATATTATTCTACTGAATAGAAGAACACCTCATTTTACATTTTTAGTGAGCTTACTTGAATTGGTATGTATAACTGAAATACATGCACAATTTATACCAACTACACAACATGTATTACTTTCTGGTTCTTATTTTTAAGATATAAAAAATGTGTGTATTACACATTTCACTAGAAATATTTAATTATTGGAATGAATGACCTATAGAATTACTTCAATAGGTCATACAGAACTGCAAGCGTGTTGGCTGCATGTAATCTCATAGGCTCACTTAACTCTCTTGCTACAGGCTCAGCCAAATCAGAAAAATTTATTACCCTAAACTGACCTTTATATTTTCCATAATTTCTTCATTAAGTCTTTAGTAGACATAAAAAATTCGAATTTTTAAATGAAGTATTTTCACAAAGAATTTCTCCAAGAATATAAGAAGTCAAAATGTTGACTACTCCAAGTGCAAAGTGATTTTCATATTAAGGTTAAAAATACTTTTCTTCATTCGAAAAAACCTCAATCGCTTAGTCTCTAAAACCTCTTAAATAAATTTCAAATTTTTTTTTCAGTAAAACTTTATATTTTATTTTCTCTACTCTAACTCTATACAAGGTTAATCAATTTGACCAACCTCATAATCACCAACAAAAAATTCAAAATAAATCTAAATTACCCTCTTTTCTTTCTAGAATAACTTCAGATTGTAACATGAAACTACATTTGTTTAACCTAAATAGCTTTAAGCTTGTAACAGTTTACATCTGTTTTTCTACTTAAGTTTTTAAATGTCCAATTAATATTCTCACCACACAAGTTATAAGTAACTTAATAAACATCTAGCTCATGTCACCAATCAAATGACAAAAATGCAAGGGCTAAGTGAGTTGCTCAAAGCATACCCTGTGAAAAATGTTTAATTTACTTAATCTAATCTATAAAATTCCTAATTTTTACATTTAAGTTATGTTTATTTTTAATAAGGAACATGAAAAACAAAAAATATAATACTTACCTGGGTCTTCTTTCCTGTTGATGGAACTTAACCCTACTTTTCTTTTTATATTAACGGTACTACTCTGGAAATTTTTTTTTATTTAATTGAATAATGCAACAAAACACAGAATAACTAAATGCAAAAAGCAGACAATGTCCTATAACTATCACACATTTTCTGGCTTTCTAACTCTGCAACAAGAGCCATAACAAATTCAACTAAGCTCATAAATGTTTTTCCTGTGGGAATAGTTTGAACTGGAAGTGAAACAGACAATTTTCTGTACGGAAATGTAATGTAATGCTTCATTTGGTAGATTAAAACCTTAGCTTTCTACTGGCTATACATAATATAGTATTAAATGTCAGAAAGAACTATTAGCAATTTGTAAAAGAGGGGATGTGACAGGTGTGCATGGCAAGAGGGGGGTCTGGTTTTCTACTTTAAGGCTCTGTAATGAAATAAGATTGAAGGCTATAAAAATCAAGCTTTTCCTGAGCAATAACATTATAATGAGTAGTTTACGTTAAACTTAGTACTTTTCTGAGGGGTGATAAATAAATTAGAGAAGAGGAGATACATAGAGAACAAATATCACAATTCACAAACTAGAAGAAATTGAGGATTTTTTTTAAATATTGCCTTATAAAATTAAAAACTTAAAAGTTATACACTATTAAATTTCAGATTATTTAACTCACTTAAGCCTCATGACATGAGCTGAAAATAATGCCCATAGTGAAAGGGTTAATCTATTTTTCACATTTTGAATAATTACCTGGAAGGGATCATACATTCCACTAATTGAAGCACATGAACTGTCAGTAGCATGAGTTCTGCCTCCAGTCAGTTTCCACATTAACCAGGTATCCAATGTTCCAAACATGGCTTGTCCTTCCACTGCTCTTTCTCGAATCTTAACAATATGCAGATTGGTTGTTAATTTTATTCTTTATACACACCATACCCTTGTTATTAATATAATATTTAGTAATCATAATTTAAAAAAAATTTTCTCTGGTATGAAATCATGTCAACAACAAATAAAAAACAACAACAAAAAGAAACAGCTATTAACTATTGTCTCAAAATCCTAAAACAAGTTATGTTTGTTTTTATTGAATATTGCATAAAGCCACTCAAGGTCTATCTGCACTAGCCATCTATGATTTTAAGTGATAAACTAGAGGGAAGGCAGCTAGTCAACATCACTCACTGCCAATTCTTGGCTAATCTTTAACAACAGATAATGGAACTGATCATCACGTTATAATGCCTTCAAGGCTAAAATGGCAAGCATGCCCAGTGGCTGGAAAAACTAATTACAGTTGTACATGTTTTATTAACTTATTTCCCATGTTATCAGAGTAAAAAAAAAGACATAACTTGATAAAACTAGGAAAAGAGTATGCATAAACAAATTTGTTTAGTTTTTAGAAAATTCAAAACCAATCAGATATTAGCTACATATTCAAATGACAGTAAACATACCAGTGGAATGTGCTGTAGTATCCAGAGCAGTCTCATGACAACCTTGAATGAAAGAACTTTTATATCTATCATGTTAAACACATTTATCACATTCTTTTTCTAAAATTTATATTAACATATATATATAGTTACATTAATTTTTTTAAACTGTATCCACTCTCAGAAATACACATTTGTGGAGTTAATAAATTTCTGATTGAAATAAGCAGTTATTGATGTGGCAATTTTTCTGTAGCTCTAAATAATCAATACAAATTGATTCTGCAAACTTTACTCAGTTTTCTGAATTTTGAAGAATATCAAAAACAAAAATAATGCTAAAAAAAAGATTGTATTATTTTTTGCAAAAGAAAAATGATAAGTAAGAACTTTATAAGCATGACGTGAAAATTTAGCATCAGCTTGAATAAAGCATACACTTGTTTCACCATCAGAAACTGTTAGCTTCGAGAAATTAAAGGGTAAGTTGAGTTTTATATGTCATCATTGTTATTATCCTAAAAACATTGGAATAATTATGAGAACATGGCCTATGATGAGAAATAATTGGACATGATAAACTTTTATTATTATTTACAAGTTATTGCTTGAAATTAAACTTCATAAGTTGTTTGCAAAAACCCCTTACAAGAAGAGATGAATTTTATGTACATTAACACTCACACAGGTGGTTTGAATTGGACTTCTCTAGTAATTTTAGGACTTGAAGAAACACTTCCTGTGCAGTTTTCACTCCTCACATGTTTTTATTATTGAGAAACAAGAATAACCTGTCTAGTAGGGCTGGAATATTCCCCCCTCTCCACACATTTCATTTAACTGATTATTAGAGTAACATTTATCAATCTATAGCACAATATGAATATGGTTTGTTCTAAATAGTTATTCTGTACTATGTACTACTGTACTTTCAAGTGTGAGTGTGTGTGGTGACATCACAGTCACACAAAACTGTAAAACTATCTCCTTTAGAGTCTGCTCCAGGATGATTTTAAAAATATATATCAGTAGTACAGGAAAAAGAGAAATAAGTTACACAACTATCTCAAAATTAATCGTATTAAAGTAACTAACTCTTCAAAGTTATTTTCTTTTTTACAATAACAGTTCATAAACAGTTAAATGTAACAACATCTATATTATTTAGACTAAAGTTAAAATAATACTAATGCTTTTAACTTATTTCAATATTCTCTAGAAATTATTTGAAAAAAAATATTAAATTTACCTAACAACTATAATTTGACAATTGATTATTATTACAAAAAGTGATCAAATAAGGCATAACTTTAAAAATTTAACAATCTATACACTCCACTAATACCTCTTCCTCTTCTAAACTTGGCAGATGTATCTATAGAAACGTTGATAAACATGTATAAGAATCTACTTGTATACTTACAAGCAATAATGCAGGAGAGCTTGAAAGCATACAATAGTGAGTTAAGCCTTAGTATTTGTAGTATGTATTTTCATGTGTCTTTATATAAATTGTTTTAAAGACAAGGCTATATACTGCAAATAAATAACTTCTTAAAAATTAATACAACAGCACAAGATGTTATAATAATTGACAATAACGTGTCATTAACTGGGGCAAAGTTAATTACCTATTACAAGAATATCTTTTCTTGAGACTAACAGTATAAGTAGCCCATACTCATATTGTGAAAAAAAACTAGTAAAGGTCAAGAGTGTTTAATCTTATCACATTTAAGTGCAGATATGCATATCAAATTTAAAAATTCAAAGGAAAATAATAATTTAAAATGTATTTCAGCAGTTTGCTTATCGAAAATAGTTTAAAATTGATCTTTTGTAATTCTGAAAGATCTTTTAGTATATGTTGGAAGGATTTGTAATTTTTTTTAAATGTTAAATTTCATTTCTGGCCAGCTCCAAGGAGTCTTATCTGTAAAGAATAGAATTTTTCTCTACCTATCCAAAATTGCAGACTTGTTTTTGCTAAAAGGTTATTGCCCTTTGAAAATATATTTAATTGTGTTTTGTTTTCAGTTGATTTTCTGTGTCTATTAGTGATTTTATTACTATAGACTTTCATTCCCATCATTTTATGATATCATAATGTATGGTCCTGACAATTACTAATGTTGTAAAACACCTACAGACAACACTTAAATTAATTAGATAGACCAAATTAAAAACTACTTAAGTCTATGTAGAATAAGAAAAAAGTAAACACAGTAATTTACATTTTTATGGGACAGTAATTAGATCTAACTCCTGAAGACCTGAACAAAGGAACCTAACAGGAATTTTAGAAGACTCGGGAACAAACTGCAGGTCTATGAATAATTTTATAGCTTTTTTCAGCCATTTTTGTCACTCCTGAAAAACTTTCTTATATTATTGTATCTGTTGAAAGCTACAGAAAATCTTTCAATGGCAAGATATAAGGCTAGTTAGGTTTAGTAAATATCAAGCTATAGCAAAATAAAAGATTTGCATGCATTAAGTGTACAAACCTTCCACAACCCAGTACATTTTTTTGCATGAAATATGGAGGTTTTTTTTTTGCACAATAACAAACATTTATGTGACATAAGACAACACCACCAGGTACAGGTGAAAGAAGTGTAGTCTTTCTTATACATGAAACACTATACAAGAAAAAGTTAACTGCTAAATTTTTTATACTGCTATTCAGGGAAGGCAGCTAAAAAAAATACCTATATTAAATATTGGGTCATTTTGAATTTTGCGCAATGCTACACAAGAACTATCTGTACTAATTTAGCAGTGACAGACTAGAGGGAAGGCAGCTAGTCAACACCACCCACCACCAACTCTTGGGTTACTCTTTTACCAACAAATAGTGGGATTGACCATCACATTGTAAGGCTGTCACAGCTGAAAGGGCAAGCATGTTTGGTATGATGGAGATTCGAAATCACAACCCACAGATGATTGCGAGTCGAGTGCCCTCACCACCAGGCCACATTATATATAGGTTTAGGATATATAATTGTAATTTTCTGTTACAATCTGCTGAGATTCTAGAAAACAAAAGGGATAGATTTATTTTATGGTGGTTAAAAGTTTGATGAAATGGACCAAACCTGTATAGCAATAATACATTTTATTAACAAACTTTTCATATTTTCAACAATAATCTTACCATTCCAGTTTGGAAATACAATATACTAGCAGCTAAGAAACGTTTTCTTCTGGTGAAAAAATGCAGAATCTGAGCTCCTCCTCTCAAACACTAGACATTGAAAGTAAAACACTAAATGTATAACAAGTTAGGAGACATTTAACAAAAAAATTATTATATTCAAGTTCATGAACAAAATATTTTCAGGCATATTTTGGAAGCTAATCATAATATCCAGCACTTCTTAAACTAAGAAATATTACTTGTGAAATTAAAAACTGCAAAACACTTGTTAAAATTCTATACAAAATCATATATTTAATATACAAGATTATTAATAGATAGTCTATCAAAATGTTTAAATATATTTTCAGTTTTATCAGATAAGCCTACAGGAAATCATTCAATTTGCCATGGTGGCAGGCCAGTATTAAAAAAAAAAAGTTTGAAAAATGTGAAACAAACCTATAGTTAGGTATCAAAAACATGCCAATCAATACAAAAAACATGTAAAACAGCAGTTAGCTATAGAAGACATTCAAGATGAGATAAAAAAAACAGCATATAATGACAGTTAGCTATGCAAAAAATGTTAAACCATGGTTATCTCTTGAAAACATACCAAAGAATGAAGAGAATTTAAACCTTACTTAGGCATTCCAAACATGCCAATGGATACACTAAACATGCAAAACAATATTTAAATGTATGAAACAAGTGAAACGACAGATACAAGTAGAAGTCACACAAAATCATAAAGAAATTATACTAAATACATAAAATAAGAACATATAAAAAGTATATTTAGGTTTAAAAATAAAGAAATGTATAAAATGACAACTAACTATAAAAAATATGCAAAACGATAACTACAGAAAAGACAAGACTATCAACAGCAGTAGAAAAGATGCCAAATAATATAGAAAACATGTATAAAAATAGTTAGTACAGAAAACACCTAAAAAACTGTAAAAATCATGCTATGTTAGAAAACAAATGAAATTGTATCTACCTGTAGAGAACATGCCAAATGATATAGAAAACATCTAAAATGATAGTTAGCTACAGAAAAGACTACCAATAGCAGTAGAAAAGGTGCTAAGTAATATAGAAAACATGTATAAAGATAATTACAGAAAACACCTAAAACAATAGTTAGCTGTAAAAATCATGCTATGCAATATAGAAAACAAATGAAACTGTATGTACCTGTAGAGAACATTCCAAATGATATAGAAAACATCTAAAATTATAGTTAGTTATATACAAGTCACCTATAACTTGCCAAACAATAGAAAAAACACAGGTGTAGAAAATATATGATAGTTAGCTTTGGAGAGAACTATACATGATGGTTAGCTGTTGAAAACATATCAAAGCATGTAGAGAAAATTTAAAACACTTGTTTCGTGTTGTAGACACGATAAAGAATACATTACACATAGAAATGCTATTTAGATGCATAAAACAAGCAAAATGAAATATACCGTATTTTTTGGTGTATAAGACGCACTTTTTTACCCCAAAATTTGATGTCAAAATCTGCTTGCGTCCTATACACCGAAGGTATGAATAATATATATGTATATATATACGATATACACAAGCCATGAGTAAATATATTTAAATAGGCGTGCATAGCTTAGTTCAATTGAAAGTGCTATTTATAACAATAGTAGTTTTATTTCTTTTAAAAACATAGCTATTTATAATGTTCTCTAAATAATGAAAAAATAAATTACGGTG